AAGAAGACGCTTTGCCCTCCAGTCACGCCTCAGTGGTTTACAAATCCTTGTAATTTTGCAAGTTTTCAAGCTGCCATAAAATTTTTGTATTTCTTTTTAAGAGCTTCGGATTTTCCCTTCTTCCTAATATGTTACCTCTCTTTCTATCTCCAATAAATACATATCAGGAACTTCCTTTTGTAGTGATTAATAATGGCAAAGGTTTCTAGAGGGCAAAGCTTCCTCGCCTTAAGGCAAAACATGTTAATTTTGCAATATTCAAATCGTCATTTAATCTCAACCTTACACGGCATTGTTCTGGAAATTGGTGGTCTGGCTATCTAAAACATGCTCTTTCCAGTTCTGAAATTCATTTAGCTGAGGCTGAAAGTTTAGAAATTATCGGTCAGGTGACCAACATTGTTGTACCAGAAGTTAATAGTGCCAGTTTCCCGCGCGCCAAATCTTAGAACATGGCGGACCTTAGCAACATGGCCGCGGATTCAAGGTAAGGTTGTCGAGAAAAACAGTCCTCGTTTGGAAGCAAAGAATCGTTAGTTAAATAGGACCAGTCAGAAACGTTCAAAGTTACTTACTGTAGTCATGAGTATTACAAGTGTTTCAGTGATATTTTTCTAAGTTCACTGATGGGTAATCATAATTACTCTTAAATCATAAACAAATTGGTCGCTTAGGATCACCTAGCGAACTCGTACTTTGCATGTTATTGTGCGTGGTTAGCAGGTTATTAGATTTATAAGCTTATTATCCGCCTCTTTGGTGGTTAAATCTTTGACTTATGTTAAGTTTATGTGGGAACGTCCACGATCGAATACCGTAATTAAATTTGCAATGTTTTTAAATAAGATTTTATAGCAGCACGTCAAGTCTGAAGAAGTTGAGTCCAGCGTACGATTAATTACCAGCGTTTATTGTTTAAGCTTAATTTATGTTCAGTTATATATAAATTTGGTATAAGTTGAGTTCTTAAAGAAGTTGACAGTACATGAAAACATCACTGACAGATAGCCTTCAGGACGTCTATTAATATTTTCTTTGGGATCCCTCTCGTGCCTCGTATGNCAGACAATGAGTACTGAGAAATATTATTGCGTTCGAAATTATTTTGTCGCGGCAGGGGTATTTTGCAGAACGCCGAACGCCGAATACCACTGTTTGTTTACGGTTTGTTTCACTTATGTTTGCTTGCCGGCTATAGCTTTTATTTGTAAATTGTTGCAAAGGGCAAATACAATATAGTGCTGTCCTTTCCAACTATAATGGCAAGCAAACATTGCATTTGGCATTCTGCAAATTTTGTTATGACTTTTCTTGGGTGAAAGATTTCTATTGTTAAGGACTTTTTGGAGATTCTGCCATTTTTGCTGAAAATAGCATGTATCCGTTTCGTTAGACCTAAATTACAACTGCAAATGAAACTTCCTGTTTTCGGTGGTGGTATATTCCTCCCGGAGGGGGAGTACTCCCTTATATGGGCTATATAGATATATGCAGCCCCAAAGGGTATGGTTTTTCTGCTGTCTTGGTCATACATAGGGTATAGATTTTGGCCATTTTGGTCATAAAAAGGGTTTGGTTTTTGCACTCTAATCTTGAATTGGGCGTGTTTTTTTTTTAAAAAAGCTACTTTTTCATCATTATCGATAAGACCATCAACAAAATCTCTTCATAAATTATATTTAGAGCAACTGTGCCAGCTCTAATGGTCAAAAATAGGGTATTGAATTTTTGGTCAGGTCATAAATAGGGTAGGAAATTCGCAAATTTTGGTAATAAATAGGGTAAGGGTTTTGGGAAGTGGACTGCCCTTCCCACCCAATTTTTCTGGGAGTACCCCCCAGGTTTATTCCAACAGACAAATACAAATGGCATTATAACAGCCTCACCCTCCCCGCCACCCCGCTCCTTGAGGTGTTAAATGGACGATCATGATGATGAACTAAAGAATGTGGATAAAAATCTGCCATGGATTCCCTTACAGTAGTTGTTTTATTCAGAGAAAGAAAGGACTTTTGATGGTTACATTCTAGATCATTGGACCTTTCTGGGTCTGGTTTTAGACTAATAGGACCTTTTTAGGGTCTGTTGATTTGACCTCATTCACAGTCCTTGTTACTTGTATAACTTGATATCCCACCTTTATGGACGGTCATTAAATTGTTTTTTAATATTTTTATTTGTTTAAAATCAATATAATTTTCACATACATAGCACTCTTAGAATGTCAGGTATAACTCCTGCTCATGACATTAGTTTGCTTTCCACAGGTCATAATGACAATAGAGAATGATGAAATTAACATGGGTGAACCATGAGTACGTCAAGATTTGTGACCAAGATCGTGGGTGGAAAATTAGTGACAGTTCCAGAGTACCGTGATCCAACCTCCTCACGGCAGAGTGGCTACAATTTAAAATCAACCTATCCATGGGGAACATTTGAGCCTGTTGCCTCCCATAAGATTGGAAGCAGGACATATCCTGTCCTTCCACCTATCTCTAATCATGGTAATATTAATTACTATGTGGTGGTTTGAATTTCTGTGTAGTTTAATCACCATATTACATGTAATACCACTGAATTAGGAAAAAAAAAAATTAAACATTTTGCAAGATAATTTAGTGTTAAAAAATGTTTATGTACAGCAAAAACAAATCTCTAAAGACCAGTATAAGATTAACAATTGTCTCTAATGTTGACCCTTCTGCACAGATCTCACTGTGCTGGGTCTATAAATCATGACCTTGAACCAGAAAGTTTCTCATCTGGCCTTTATACATTCCGTTTTTTAATTTATTCAGTGACTTATTATTTATGCTAAGGGATATTGTCTTGATGTACATGGCATAAAAAAA